GTAGGATGGCAGATGAATATTAAGAAAACCAAAATCATGACTACAGAAAAATTACAGAACTTCACTGTCAGCAATTACGAGCTTGAAATTTTTAAAGGGTTTTTAATACTTTGGCTCACTCATTAATTCGATGGAGATGGCAGCCAAGAAATTAGAAGAAGAATGAAACTTGGAATGACAACTTTGCAAGAATTACAAAATATCATTAGGTGTAAAGATGGTTCACAGGAAACCGAGGCCAACATTATCCATGCAGAAGAAAATGGATGTGTTTGAAACATGGTGTTGGCTTTGAAAATACCCTGGATTGACAGAAAGATGACCAAGTAGGTAGGTTCTTGATCAAATCAAACCAGAACCTGCCCTTGAAGCAACAATGACAAAACTGAAGCTGCTGTATTTTGGACTCACCATGAGAAGTCAAGACTCACTAGAATACACCATGATGCTAGGCAAGTTGAAGAAGATGAGAAAGACCATAAAGGAAGCAACAGCCTTGAATTTACATGAGATGGGCAGAATTGTGAAAGACAGAACTTTTTGGACAGCACTCATTTATAGGGCTGCCATAAGTTGAAGCCAACTTGATGACACATAGCTGTAGTAGCACTCGCACATGGCAAGCGGGTCAGAGTTGACTGGCTGGATGTTCTTTTGAAAGTGTCAATGGCCTGCTGGCTCTCTGGGCCTTAATGATGTATCTGTCAAAGCCATGAGCTGAGGAATTTTAAAATCCAAGTTGCAAATAAAATTTTTGTGCTGTGAAAGAAGGTTGGGCTACATCAGCAGATATATATACCTTCGGTAGGAAAGGAGGAGCAATGCTGTTGCCACCTAATGAGATATAATGTGCATTTTCTGAATCTTATCGTTCCTGTCACTTCCATGAAAAAGGATGGATCCCCATTTCTCAGTCAAGTCTCCCAGGAGAGGCCAACCACACACAGACAAGCATGTCTTCAAAGAGCAACAAAGCCCACTATTGATTTCATAATAGAATCTGCCATATGCAGGACAGTGTTAATTTGTTCCTTCTCTTGACAGTGTGTGAAAAATTCTTTAGAGCTCCCTCTGTTCCTCACGAAGGTGATCAAAGGAGGTCACAGTGCTCAGAGAGAATGCTACCAGAGACAAGAATGATCTTCTCATAGATTTTAACGTATGGCTCTTGTGATTGATAGGCATTGCATGGGTCTTTGCTATGTAGCCTTCACTATGATAGAACCAGGGATTGGTTGCTTTAAAAAGAATTCCTCATCTTGGACCTTGGTATAAATTCTCTCACCTGGATGTTGGTAGCATCCAGGAAAGCACTTTAAGAACTATAAATGACATATGGATAGCTACCATAGTTGAGGTGCCTTAATACAGCTACTTATACATGGAGTTCTTAATAGGGTCTCAGGGTTACTGAAATGCAATAATGATCATAATAATTTCAACACCTAGAGACTTAAACTTATGGTTTATCCATTCTGAAAATTAGTAAAAATTTCCTGACCTTAGAGAAGTGCAACAATGGAACCAATGACTTAGGGAGGTTGTGGACTCTCCCACAGTAGGGGCATTCAAAGTGCAACTAGGCAGCATCTGAGGGGCATGGTTTAACTTGGTGGCCTGCACTGAGCAGGAGTGAAGGACCCAATGGCCTTCTGGCCCCTTCCAACTCTACTATTCTAGAATTCTATGAAATCAGAAGGTGGAGCCCTGATCCCTTGGGATCCACAGAAGATGGAAGCAATGGAGGAGGTCAGCTAAGAAGCTCATTGGAAATACCCTATGCCTGAGTAACAGAGATTTTTAACAAGTGCCAACACAGTAGAGGTGGTATGCCCCTTTCAGTATAGATGCCAGTACCAAGATGGCTGGAACTAAGACCAACAGTGCTAGGATGATATACCATTTCAGAGCATGAGTTCTAATGGAAGGGTTCTGGTAGGAAACAGATTTTTTAAATATATCAGTTTGGGTCAGCTTCTTGGGAATTATGGAGGAAACAGATCAGCACCTTTGAAAGTTCCGAATCCTACTAAACCAGGAAGACAGACATTATTGTCTGTAATAATTCTCTAACAAAGATCAGGCTCTACTTCTGTTGAAGCTTTGACTCTTAAAGGGACTATACCTCTTTTAGCAGCTTCAGGTTGTAGTGATGATCAAGTGATTGTGACATGCTAATTTCTTCATAACCTTAGTTCTCAAACTCTGAAGGCAGCAATGGAGTCTTCTTTGGATGCAAGACTGTATATACAGTTTCTCCAAAGAAGAACTGGGTTCTGGGAAGAGCACATGTGTATGTTGAACAAGTACTCTCAGTACCAAACATGAGGCCATTGAGCCAAGGTTAAGGGTGCTGGAAGAACCAGTGTGCATGTTATTGATAGGAGTTACTGCAGCTGAGTTGGCATTTGAAACCAATCATTGAGGTAGCAAAGAACCAACATAAGGTTTATGCTAGTCAAGTCTGATGTAGTAGCAGTCACTGAGTCAGCAACATTCCTACTAGTACAGCGAATGCTGATCACAAGCATAAGGTGAAAAGAGAGTATCAGTGGTAAGTAGTCTGTGGCCAAGTTAATTGCTCTGTACTTCCTTTAGGATAAATGTATGTAGAGTCCTTGCAGTAGCAGGATTCTGGAGATGTTCTGCATAAGTATGGGGATCCATGCCATCATAATGAATCCTGAGACACTTGATTGTACAGGGATTACAGAGAAAGCAAATTGATGACCTGCACTTAATCCACTGAAGGAAGGCCCAAAATAGGCTGCAACTTATCAAGGACAGGTACAGACAAGGACAACACTGGTGATGGGAACAGAAGTCACTGCTGGTGTTACAGGCATCAGTACCAGTACAACATCAGTTTGTGGATCAGGCTGTATTTCCAAATGGTACAGGCCTTAACTTTTTTCTTTCACTTCTTTGGCTTTTATAAACATAAGGAAGCGTGCTCCATCAGACCAAAGGCCTTTCTAGTCCAGCCCTCTTTTCAGACAGTAGCCAACCAGCTGCCAATGGGAAGATCCAAAGTAGGACATGACTGTAATAACACTCTTCCACTCATTTTCTCCAGTAATTGGCATATATATGAATACTGCAACCAGTATTGGAAGTAATCTGTCACAATCCCAACTAATATCCATTGATAGCTTCATACTCCACAAATGTCCTGAATTCCTTTTAAAGCCATCCAAGTTGGTAGCCATCATTACATTGTGTAGTAACAATTCCATAGTTTAACTATGCATTTTTTCAGAGTACAGTAAAACCTTGGATTGTGAGCATAATTCATTCCAAAAACATGCTTGTAATCCAAAGCACTTGTATATCAAAGCGAATTTCCCCATAATGTTCAGTGTAAATAAGGTTAATCCGTTCTGTAACTTTTTTTGTTTTAATCATAAAAATTTGAAGCAGGCACGCTCGGGGCAGGGGGAGGCGGGCATGATCACGGGCACGCTCAGGGGGGCGGGAGGCGGGTGCGCTCGCAGGCACGCTCGTGGGGGAGATGATGCTGTACTCACACCCGCAGCAAGAGAGAGAAAAACTGGCACTCAGTTGTGACTTGACGCTCGGCAGGCAAAGTGCGTTTAATACTCGTACTGCAAGACATTGCTCGTTTATCAAGTTAAAATTTAGAAATACTTTTTGCTCTTCTTGCAAAACACTTGCAGACCAAGTTACCCACAATCCAAGGTTTTACTGTAGTTTCTTTTACCTCTCTTGAGTCTCCATTAAGTTTCATGGGATAATCATGGCAAGGGGCAGCATAGAAATGTTATAATAATAATAATCATCATCATCATCATCATCATCATCATCTCAGTTTCTAATATTATGAGAAATGGAGAGGCTGTATAACACAAAAGCTGTGGTGTTTGTGGGATATATGCACCTGCCATTCTCAATATTTAAATTTATGAGTTTTTTGGCACAGAAACAGCCTTGGTCGTCCTGTATGATGACCTATGCTGGGATAGTGCAGGGGAAGTGCAACACTGTTGATACTGCCGGACCTCTCACTGCCTTTCAAAACCATCATCGATAGTCTCGTTCTGGGGCAACTGTCAGGACTGAGAGGTACTGCACTGCAGTGGTTCTGCTCTTGCTTGGAGTGATGTCACCAGATGGTGATGCTTGGAGAATACTGCTCATCCCCCATGGATTCTCCAGCACAGAATTCCTCAGGAGTCTGTTCTGTTCTCCATACTATTCAACATCTATGTGAAACTGCTGAGTGGGGTCATCCAGAGTTCTGGAGTACATTGCCATCAGTACGCTAATGGCATGCAGCTCCATATCTTTTTCTCATTACCAGCAAGTGAGGCTTTGTTCATGCTAAAATACTGCCTGGCTATGACAATGGACTATATGAGGGCCAACAAACTGAAATGCTGCTGGTGGTTGACTCCTTTCACTGGAGGGAAGGTGTTGCCCTCCACAAAAAGGAGCAAGTTCACAATAGCTTGTGAATGTTCCTTGATCCACCTTTGTTACTTGAGGTTCTGGTAATCTCTAAATTAGGTTACTGCAATGCACTCTCCATAGCACCATCCTTGAAGAAGGTTCAGAAGCTGCAGCCAGTGCTGAATGCATTAGCCAGATTAATAATTAGGATCCACAGGTCCGAACATGTAACACCAGTTGTGGCCTGCTTGCATTGGCTGCCTAAATGCTTCCAGTTCCAATTCATGGTGCTGGTTTTAACCTAAAAAGCTTTCCACAGAGACATATCCAATCACCCCAGGAAGCTTTCTGGCAGTATGATTTGAGGATAGCCCTCCAATTTGGAAATTATTACCCAAGAGATAATCACCTTGAGCCTATATAGATACCTTCACAGCAGCCATTAATCACAAAGAAGATTGAAGATATAGGGGGTTCTACCTAATGTTACTCTCACTGAAGACTTGTTCAATTCCCTATTCTACCCACACCTAGACTGTCTCAAGACATCCAGGCTAAAGGCTTAGGTAAATAACAATCAAATGGCTCACCTATCCAGCATTCAAGACGGGCACAGGGAGTTGTCTTCACCACATCAGGAGGGTCCACACCAACATTTAGGCACAAGACTAAGGCAACACTAACCGTCTTCATCTACAAAAAAGGAAGTGTTGTGATCAACAATTTGTACAAAGACAAACCTCTACCTTATCAGAAGACTCATACATATATATAAATACTAACACAAGATAAAAACTAATTAGACCAATTGTTTTTATCTAATTATATAACACAGTCCCAATGATGGAATGTTCAAGTTACAGGTATGAAATGTATATATTCCTTGAGATTCTAAAATGAAACATATTGGCTGTCAATTCTCATCCTAAGCTAAAAGAAGCAACTGAAATTACTTCTGAAGCAAGTCCACCTTTAAATTTCAGCAAGTTTCTATCAACACCTGTAGCTGGATGGGAAACAAGTTGCTTATCAAACAATAATATATATTTCTGTTGGACTTGTGCACAGACACTGTAGGAAACAGATGATGAAATGGAATCCTTTCAATCAAGAAAATATGTGTTTTGACTATATAAATGTCCAGTGATGCAATTATTGTTGTGATTAAGTATATATACAGCTAAGAGCTGAACTCAATTCTGTCACCACATCTATAGCAGTCCTTTTCATTTATTAGACTTTGAAAACCCATCTGTTTTCTTAGGCCTTCTTTTGATTGTGTTTCATTGGGCTGTTTTTGGTTTTCAGCTGCAGTGGTGTGTTAGATTTTAGCACAGCCTGGGCTGGACAGTGTTATCCGTTGTTATCGTTGGCACTTCTTAATTTTATTATTTTTTGTTTTTATTATATGAAGTTAACACATTCTAACTTTTAAAAGAATTTTAAAGGTATCAAAATATGTTAAATGCATAAACAAAAATCAACATAGCTGTTAGTAGAAAGAGCTTTCATATCCCTACCATGCATTCTCATGGTACTTTTAAATGTATCTGAATAAGACATATCAGCATGTAACCTACAGCAAGAAAGAAGTTATGGATGTATAAATTCCAGTTTGGACAGTTAGGAAAGAGTTTGTATGTCACAAAATGGTGGTTCTTTCAGGCCACCAATGCACCACAAACAAGTAATATAAGTATGTGCAGGCAAGCACACTAGTAAAAATGTTAGGATACTTTGCTCTGTGGACCGATGAGTAGGTTGATTTCTGCATATTAGAAAAGTGGCATTAAAATGTTTTCAATAATAATTAACAACACTGCATCATTTCTACTGAAGTCTATTTCTATCCAATGCACAAATCCAATAGTGATTGAGGAAAAGACAAATCAGTTTTCTTCTTGTGAGTCAATATAGATGCTGTCAGGACTTGCTTTACTTGTTTCTATTTCTTTTGAGAATAAAGGGGAGAAGTTACTGTTTGACTCTAATAGTTTTTTAATGTATGCAAAAATAAACACAAAAAGGATTCTACACAGTCATATGCTGATCTTCAGCTCTATTACAGGGTTGAGAAAAAAACTGTCAGCTCATCTTTTTACAGAACATATATCACAGGACTTCATATATGTGTTATAGCCTTAACGTTCTTGTTTCTAAAGTCCTTAGTGCAGATTCATAGAAGACTGATTGCCAGTGGATCTCTGCCAAGCATCATGGATCAGGAAGAGTCCAACTGAAATGCTTTATTAAAAAGTAATGGAAAGACATTATTCAAGATTCCCAGATCAATAATGCAACATAGCAAACTTTGCCTTAAGTGACCACTCAGGAAGCTAGCAAAACAAAAAGCTCCTGAATTTTGTTTTGATACAAATCTGAACAGTAATCCCTTAAATGAAAGGACATCTATCACAGATAGAACATGAACTACAGTTTCACCATCCATGTTCATCACACAAGAAAGCAATTTGTTTCCAAGCACACTGTATCTTATCACAACAAGGCTCTGGGCTAAGGACCTGTCTAAACCACATTCTTCTTGCACATTTATTTATTTATTTATTTATTAAAACATTTTTATGCCGCCCCATTCGCCGAAGCCTCGGGGCGGCTTACAAACAATAAATAAAAGCAATTATAAAATAAATCACACACATATAAACATTAAAAATCCAAAAAAATACAATATAAAATAAGGTTGATTTAATATCAGTTTAACATGCATTCTATCTCCTTTATCTGCAAAAGCCAAAGATAGGAAATGCTGTAGTTCCCACTTATTAAGTTTTTCTATCCTGTCCCCTACAAATGTCTCAGGATGGCTTACAATAAATAAGTAGAATAAAACAAACCCCACAGCATCCAACCATTAATATACTAAAACTCCAGTTAAAATCAATTAAACATGAAAATAGCAGGAAAATATAAAGGTTTTTGCCTGACACAGAAAAGAATATAACTTATCCACAGGACTCCGTTATTGTTGTGTTTGGTAAAGCTACTAGTAATAACACCCTTGGGCTTATGCACACAATGCCATAACAAAAACCTCTTCTCTTCATGCTTGCTTTTTCAATGCACATCTGGGCTATCACTGGATTATGCGATATAAATCAAGCCCTGCAAGATTTTTTTTTTCCAAACTGATCTTCAAATACTTATAGACAAGCAAACAGCACTCAAAGAATTGCCCAGTGATTTTGGCATAATCATTGTATTATGACACAAGAAAGGAGCAAGAAGGCATTATATATAGCAATTCAAAACCAATGTACTGGAAGGAGTATGAACCAAAATGAACAATATAAGATCAGAAAATGTGACAACTGAAAGGGAATGGGGGGTTTTCGCCTTCCTGATTGGATGCTGTATTATCAAGCTTCTGTCTTAACATGGCTAAAAGAATGGATAACCTTAAGAAATAAGAGAATCCTTTATCTTGAAGGGCATGATTTGCAAATGGGCTGGCATGCTTATCTGTGGTATGAGAAGTGTAAGGCACATGGTTGCTTTTTAAACCATTAGAAAGTCATTAATGTCGGTGTGGGAAAAACTAAAGACAAAACTGTACGCTAAATTACCAAGATGGCTTTCGCCTATGGAAGCTCTTGTACATCAAAATGCATTGAATTTTGATATGATTGTGAGATATGATGATATTGTGGATAATGATGGAGGATTGAAACCAAACCAAGAACTACAAGAGCAGGGAATTAATATTTCTTGGTGACATAAGGTTCAAATACAATCGAGATATGTTAAAGATTATAACATGTGGGGTTTTTATAAGGAGTTAACAACATTTGACCAACTGATCTTAAAATCAGATGAGAAAATGATTAAAAGATTGTATAATTTTCTTTTGGATAGGAGAATGGAAGATGAACAAGTTAAGGAAACTATGATAACGTGGGCACAACATTTTGGATACAATATTGAGCTACAGAAATGGCAAAAGCTGTGGGAAAGAAATATTAAAGTAACATTAGCAACCTCATATAAAGAAAATTTGTATAAAATGTTTTATGTTTCCAAATATGTCAAATGGATGTTGGAAATGCAAACATAAACCGGGTACTTTTTATTGTATGTGGTGGACTTGCAATAAGGCAAAAAATACTGGGTTAAAATACATAAATGGCTAGAGGGAATGTTACAAAAACCTCTAATATTTAAACCTGAAGTTTTCTTATTAGGCATTGTACCTGATGATGTTGATAATCAAGCAATGTATGTGATTCTACATGTAATTACTGCAGCGAGGATTGCATTTGCCCAGCATTGGAGGAGTGAAGAACTACCTACCGATGAACTGATTTTAAAAAAGATCTTGGACTGTGACAAAATGGACAGATTGACTTTGTCTCTGAAGGAGAAAGAGGATACATACTTCTATCAAACTTGGAATTCTTTTTATTATTGGCTAGAGAAACGAGACTATGCATAGACTTAAACATGTTTATGGATTGCCATTAAGAAAACAGTACGGGGGGCTGACCCAGTAGGTCTGATGTTTCTGATGATTGATGATTTTTAGGGGGTTTTTTGTTAGTTAGTAGAAAAAAATAATAATAAAGCTTACTTTAAAAAAAAAGAAAATTTGGCAACTGCTGAGACAGCTTGAAGTCCCAGGCACCAGCCTGTAAAAGCAAGAAACCTTCAGTGACTGAAGATAAACTACTTAACTCAGTAAGAGTCTCAGAGATAAAGGAATCTGAAGTAATAAAGTATAACAAAAAGATAGAAAAAATAAAACATTTTATAATTTCACAATAAAGAAACAAAAAATAAAGATGAAATTAAAGAATGTAGTCAAGCACTAAAGGCAGTCACTTTAAACAGCTTCTGCAGATCCATCTATATCAGGATGGGAAAAATCAGAAATACACGTTTTCCCCAGGTAAGCCCTATCCAACTCTAAAACCTACCTACCTCAAAGGTGGTTGTTGTGGGAACAAATGGAGAGCAGAAGGTTTGGACCTGAAGGTAGCATCTTGTTCAATAGTCCTACCCAAACATGCAGCCATCCCCACATTCACAAATATGCATGCAGAAATAGAGAGAGTAAATACTTAAGTCATGTCCACAGAACAGATGCTACTCCTAAGCAGGCCTGACCCATTAGGTTGCCCACAGGCATGAGAACATTTACATTCAGTGCTGTGCACAAGTATTCACATACACCACTTTGACTTTTCCACAGTTTATTGAGTTACAGCCTGCAAGAGAAAAGGATCGAACTGACGTTACTACCACTTGATATACACAAGATACTAATGAGACACTGCAAAAAAAAAAAAAACCTTTTATCGTGGCACAAAATTAAGTATTTTATTTTTATTTTTTTATAAAATTAAGTAAATAAAAACAAAGTGGCATGTACAGTTTGCATAAGCAGACACTACTCTTGAGTCAATACTTGCGAGAAGCACCTCTGACTACAATTACAGCGGTAAGTCTTCTTGGATAAGCTTCTGTATCTAAATCCTGTAATGTCTGTCCACCTTTCCTAGCAAACTGCTCCAGCCATGTCAGGTTGCATGGGGACTATTGGTGAACGGCAATTTTCAAGTCTTGCTGCAGATTCTCCATTGAACTGAGGTCTAGGCTTTGACTAGGTCATTCAAAAATATTCAGGTTTTTGTTTTTAACCCATTGCAGCATTACTCTTACCAGGGGTTTAGGGAAAT